CTGCAGGACATTTGCTCCGCTGCCAGTTGGGCTTCTCCTCATACCTTCGTACGTTACTACCGGCTGGATGTCACCAGTACCTCGGTAGCACATTCGATTTTAGGTGTGGGGTCGTCCTAGCCCCTCCCTGTAACCCTGTTGGGGTATAACCATTAAGAGTGAATGTGCCGGCTGGCCATGTTCATTCCTGTCACCAATCATTACTCCCCCTTTGGGTACAGTGTTGACTGTGAGTGTATTGGGCAATCGGGGAGCTGTCCATGTCTCTCCCATAGGTGGATCTCGAAACGAGATGATGAAAGAGAACAATAGGTTACTGTCGTAACCCCGGTTCTCTGAAACATCGAGTGGAGAGATCCACCAGCTTTGCCCCGCTTGCCGCACGAGAAGCGAATATACTTACTGAGGATTAGCAGCGCGCCGAGATGTTATATGCCCGTGGGTGAGGGGTGTGGCCTCACCGGGCATTGGCTGCGCGCTTCTGTCTGTCTAGCCAGACTTGGTACAATTGGATGCTTCTGCAGAGGTCAGGTACGGATGCCCTTCCCATAGGTGGATCTTTCCACTCGATGTTTCAGAGAACCGGGGTTACGACAGTAACCTATTGTTATCTCCGTATGTTCATTTTAGGCAACAATAAAACGAAATATGTTATAAAACACCACTCTGCTTCTTTTCTATTTCATTTCAATACTTTGTAAACATTCTAAAGCACACAAATGTGGTTCAGGCAACGCATAGCCTATTGATTATATTCACTGCATGTAGCCTATGTAGCCTATATTTATAACAAAAACTAAATATAAAACAACCCTGCCTCTTTTCGTTTAAATTTAAAAATTTTAAACATATTCCAGGCAATATGTAATGTAATGTATTGCATATTGCATTGGTACAAATGTTGCAATAAACAACATTACAGATGATCTTGTAATAAAATTTAAAAAATGACAAAACTATCTCTTTTTGTCGATTTTCAGTTTTATCAATAATAGCCATTATAAAAGTATAAGTAAAAGGTACAAAAATATATACAGTAAAGCTTAAATAACATCAAGAAACAATTCAGTTAGTCAAATAGATATGCTCAAAGATATGAAACTTCACGTAGCCTTCTGCCAAAACTATTGGCCAGGGAACGAATTATAGATTCACGAGACCAAAGATCACCTGTTAGGTTTATACAAGACGAACTATATCTCACGTTTAACCACTACAGACAGAGACATCCGAGTCAGCGGCAAACATCAGAACGACTAGCCGAGGAAAGGCTGTTCCAGGCGGGGGACACGAGCGCGAGCGTCCGGTGATCGCTTGGAATGGATCTCAGTCAAATTATCATAAATCTATAAATAAACCACAGATTTGAGCTTTAAAAAACTACTTTCTCACCTGAAAAACTCTTAAAACTGACACAATAACAGTAGTATTATATTTCAACTGTATGCTTCTAATGCCCTTGTAGCACGCGCGAGTGACGATACTCTGTCCACCAATCACCATTCTGCAGTGAGTCTAGCTCCACCTTTTAGTACCCTTTCACTGTGCTAGGTACCCCAACGGAAGGGTACCCAAAAAGTGGTACGGTACGGTTCGGCTTTGTGGTACCATTCACAACTTTTGACAGTGGAAACGCAAATAATTGCGTACCGAACCAAACTGTACCGTACCATACCACTCAGTGGAAACGAGCCATTAGTTGATCTTAAGTTTATTAAGAAGTACTAAAGTTAAGATTTTGGTATATTAAGTACAAAATAAGTGCGTGAAAATAGACAATTTAAGTACATTATCGAGTGTACTAAGGGCACATTAATAAAATGTTTTTAGTGTACTTTTTTGACAAAGGAATACACCTTAAGTATAATATGAATATATTTAGAATATATTATTATTATATTTTAAACAATTTATTAGTATAATTAAAATGCATTTAAAATGGGTTTTAGATATACTAAAAGTGGTAACAAAATACATTTTTTAAAGGTTGAAATAGTATATTAAAAATATATTTAAGTTCATCTTCAGTGTGTGTCAAAATAGCACAGTTGAGTACACTTAGTTGATCTTAAGTTTATCTTAAGAAGTACTAAAGTTTAGCTTTTAGTATATGAAGTACAAAATAAGTGCGTGAAAATAGAGCACTTTAAGGACATTATGGAAGTGTACTAAGTGCACTTAAATAAAATGTATTAGTGTACTTTTTTTCACCTGGGGGAGCAGAGGAGATGTCACTGCTGGGGCAGTGTAGAATATTATCCAGAGAAAGAGAGCTCCTGTGGGAGCAGAGGAGACATCACTGTGGTAGTGTAGAAAATTAGCCAGAGAAACAGAGCTCCAGTGGGAGCAGAGGAGATGTCACTGCTGTGGCAGTGTAGTAAAATAAGCCAGAGAAAACAGTTTCAGTGGGAGCAGAGTAGACGTCACTGCTGGGCCAGTGTAGAAAATTAGCAGGAAAAAACAGAGTTTCAGCGGGAGCAGAGGAGACGTCACTCCTGTGGCAGTGTAGAAAATTAGCCAGAGAAACGGAGCTCCTGTGCGAGCAGAGGAGACGTCACTGCTGGGGCAGTCTAGAAAATTAGCCAGAGAACAGAGCTCCAGTGGGAGCAGAGTAGACGTCACTGCTGGGGCAGTGTAGAAAATTAGCCAGAGAAACATAGCTCCAGTGGGAGCAGAGGAGACATCACTGCTGGGGCAGTGGAGAAAATTAGCCAGAGAAAGAGAGCTCCTATGGGAGCAGAGTAGACATCACTGCTGTGGCAGTGTAGACAATTAGCCAGAGAAACAGAGCTCCAGTGGGAGCAGAGTAGACATCACTGCTGTGGCAGTGTAGAAAATTAGCCAGAGAAACAGAGCTCCTGTGGGAGCAGAGGAGACATCACTGCTGTGGCAGTGGAGAAACGTACCTGTGCAAATTGAGCTGTGGTGTGAAGCCGAGCGAAGGGGGAAGTAGATTGGGGCCTGGCGGGCCGATGATCATCTTCTTGAGCGTAATCAAAGATGCGAAAATGAGGGGAGATTAAATCTTTGCAGGATTATGCTCTTCTTTATTAACGTTTGAAAATGGCTTAGGGAGCTTTCACCCTGGCAGTTAAGTCCGTAACGGGCCCCGGTTTGCTGATGTGATCGCTGATGTGAATGCCGTCATGGGACCCGGGTGCGCACTGGGGTACCTGGAGGAGGTGGTCCGAGTTCGGTTGCTCCCGAACCGTGCCGCGGTTCGCATGAATGTGAAAGCAGCACAGACTCGGGTGCGCACTTGTTCAGGAAGTAAAGTATCCTGCACATGCGTTTTAGCTTATTGTGATGTATTCAGTTAAATAAGTAAGGGATGAGAGTGTTGAGGAATTACCTTGGATACACGCGAGAGTGAGCCTGCAGTGTATTCGAGCATTGTGCGTGGAATCAGAGCAACATATTTAAAATCCACTGAATCCTTAAGAGTCCGTTTGCAAGCAGCAGAAGTCCACTTTATATGACACAGGCACAATAAACCTGTATTGTTCTCTCAACTGCACATAATAGCAGCAAATTAATGAAAATAAATAAATAAATAAAACACAATATTTACCCACGTTCTGCTTTCTATCATGCGCCGTGCATGTTTGCGATGATGTAAGATGCACGCAAATGCACCAGGGTTCAATAGAATCAAGTTGAGTGTGAAACCAGACCCACACGGGGGCGTCGGGAACAAACACGCTCGGACCGCAGCAAACGAGCCCAGTATAAAAGCCCCCTTATTTTCTCATTTTATTTATTTATTTGTCATTTCTAAGGCTCACGTTCTCTGCCGATTTGTTCGTTCTTAATCAGTAGACCAAATGGTGAAGCTGTGGGTTTGAATTAGTCTGAACTTTATTTATTTACAGTTGACGTGATTGTGTTGACAAATGAAATCGGTTACAGGCCGAGGTTTGTGTTAAAAATCTTAAAGGAGTCGTCGATTCCCCTTAATGGAATCGATTCCAACCTTTGGAATCGACTCTCAATTCCTAACGCCTCGGAATCGAGTAATCGATTCTTTTGACTGGGAATCAGTCCTACTGTTTACATTTGAGTTTACGCCATAAGGAAGCATCGCGTTTAAGGAACGCAAATCATTTCAACAGAAACTATTTAAAACGTGTGATCCTCCGATCACAATTAGTATCCAGATAGCATAACTTGCTCGTCATTCAACAATTGAAGCGATGCAAAGTTCAATCGGGGACATAAAAGTTTTGAGCTAAGCACTCACAGAGTTGACCCGGCAGATGTTGAGAGTGTGGATCAGCCGGGACTGAATCTGCAGCGTGGCTTAATTTACGGCCTGTTGCGGCGGCCTGACGCTGGAGGAAGATCCGTTCCTTTGCGTTAAGAGGGCAGCATTGCCTTGTCCATTTCTCTATGGCAGGAATTATTGAATGGTCCGGTTTAAAGAAATGCGCGGAAGTACATTGCGATGTTTCGCCCGCGGTGGCGAGGACCCGTTTGTTTGGCCTGATGCCCACGAGATAATACCAGGTTGCGGCAAAGATTCCTAATTCTGAAGGACGAAAGATTTTTTATCGAAATCGGAAGAGCTAGATTCAGACATGGCCAAATGCTGCAAACTGTCAATGGATCAAGGTAAGACTGCTGAGTCTATATGTACCCTCTTATCATTGATTGCTGATTGCTGTCCACTCGTGTTAATTGTCTGAACATGCTCCTCCCGAACTTAGTCAATAAAACTTCATTTATTGTAAAGCATTATCTATTGTCAAGGGTCAGTTCATTATGGTTGTTGTAGCGCTGTGCTGGAATTCATTTTCAAGGAACTACAGTGTCTATCAATGGGTAAAACTACAGTAACTGCAGTACAGTAACAGTTTATTAATCAGGTGCACAAGCAACAGCATCAAGCATGAGATGTCTAAAATATCAGCAGAATATTTTTTTTTAATTACTAGATTAACTTAATGATATTGGCCCTGTTTCTAACTGAGTACTTAAGCATTACACATGTGTTTCTACAGGTTTTCCGGGATTGTTTACCCTTTCCATCACCGCCTGAGGCCAGTCACTGCGCTCTTCGCCATCATCTTCATTTGGCTGCTTGCTTTTGCCATCATTTTTCCTTCTGCTGCAACCCTGACCGTCATTCACTTGGATGACGTCTACATGGTGCAGGACAACCAAATCTACCCACTGTTTGTGTGTTTCGAGGACTGGCCGAGAGCCGACATGCGACGAGTTTACACCACAGTAATTTTCATCCATGTTTATCTGGCCCCGCTTGGTCTTATAAGCATCATGTATGGCTGCATCTCTGGCAAACTCTCCAACAACCTACGTGAGAATCGAGCTCGCTCCAGGAGGAGGATGAAAGTCATCAAGATGCTCATCATGGTTGCCGTTCTCTTCATGGTGTCCTGGCTGCCGCTTTGGACTTTGATGCTTCTTACGTACTATCAGGATCTGGACCGCCAACAGATTGACTTCTTGAGCAGCTATCTTTTTCCTGTAGCTCATTGGCTGGCGTTCTTCAACAGTGGGGTTAATCCGATCATCTACGGCTTCTTCAACGAGAACTTCCGGAGAGGATTCCAGGCCATCATGGCCTGCGGCTCCTGCAACTCTTTTGGGTTGGAGATGTGTCGCACGCACTTTGCTCTCCCGCCCCCTAACAAAGTATCCAATGAGAGCCAAGGTGTGACCAACAGGCGGAAAGATTGCTGCTTTGCTGTGATGCCTCAAGCGGCGGCTAATGGTATTCAGGAAATTCTCCTTGAGAACATGAATGGAATTACAGCCTCCCACAGAGTTATAGGAGCCTGGATGGAGTGAAGGATTAAGGAGTTCTATATCCCAGGAGAAAGCTGTTGCATTGCCATTCTTCTCAATGACTCAAATTGCTCAGTTTGCTTCATAGATAATCATTCCCCAAACATGTGATTCTGAACTTTTCAACCTTTTTGTATGTTGCTCGCACTACTTTTGCACTACAACTACTTGTAGTGCAACTACAAGTGTAGTTGCTCGCACTACAACTACTTTTGAATGGCTGTGTAACGAGGTAGCTCAAAGGGGAAATATTAATAATAAATAAATCATTACTTGTTATGATTAATTATGAATATTTGGGTCAGTTAATTGGACTAACTTGATGTAGCTAAATTAATTGTATCTAATTATTACAATCAATTAATTACTTCGTCCAACAAACTCTTTTGATTATTCATTAAGGGTATTTTTCATGGCCACAGAAAAAATAATTATTTCTTAGCAAATAAGGCACGTGAAACAGAACAAATACATATGTGCATCTCATTAAATATATACTTGCTTGGCCTTTGCAGTGAAAGCATTTTGTGAAGTTCCTGAGAAAGGGTTTTGATGGTTCCATGAGTGTCAACAGTTGAAGTTGCAACCGTTTATCTTCTCCGTTGGATGAAGAAGATATGATGAACTTGCATGGTTAGTTCGACTCTGTTCTGGTTGAAAGTTCTCTCTCTCCATGAGCACATGGCTGGTTGTGAGTCAAGGCCAGCTGCCCAAGGGCCTGCTGAGGCTACACAGGACAGGACAGGACAGGACAGGACAGCACAGCACTCCAAACGTACCGAGAAGGCCAAGAGAGCGAAGGGCTTGTGTAGAGATTTAAAGCCTGAGAAAGGTCCCACCTTTCAGGGTTGGCTCAACCAATAAGAAAGGGGAAATAATTCCAAGTGGGAAATTCCTCTGTTGGGAGGATTTATGACTCTATCTTAAATGTGGTTAGACAAAGGCCTTGCCGTTTGTGTCCATTTATACTCCATTTATATAACAAACACACACTGCATTCTAAGAGAAGGTGATGTACACTAAAGTTTGAGTCATTAAACAATGATTAATTAAATAGGAGACATGATACAGGTGGGGTTACATTGACCGTTGGTTCTATCATAAAATACATACTGTAGTATCAAAGGCATAATAGTACACAAGACAATTAATCATTCACACAGTGTAGTGTGACGAGTCGGTGTTTCCCGAAACCATCGTTCCAACGGACATTCGCAAACAGCATCGCAAAGTTGGGTGGTTTGAACGACAGCTCTCGACCTGTGGTTAGAGGCATCGTTTATTGCATAACATTTGAAGGTAATAAATCCTTATATTGAGCAAAATAAGCAAACTGACAGTCAGGTGACAACCGGTGCCTTTTATTTAGAATACATACAAATGTAATTTATGTCTTTTAGTTTTTCAAAAGATTTGAAGTAACGTTTTTGAAGAGTGCGCATGTATGAACGTGCTCTACTATGTAAGAGCGAGCCAAATATTGAGTCTGGTAATAAAGCAGAACAACTGAGAACAATTAGAAATAGTCCTCAGATGACATGTCTGTAATTTATATAAAACAAATCTAGCATTAATTGGATCTCAAACAGTTTCATTAAAAGTAGTAATTACTCCACCACCTGCGAAACCAACGTAGTTGAACGATACTTTGTGACAGTGGATTTCGGGAAACAGTCGTGTCTAGCTAGTTGATTTTTCCAACGATGCATCGTACTATGGTAGTGAAACAGTGAACTACGTCGTTGTACGGGAAACACACTCCTGGTCGCAGATTATAATTGATCTGCGTCCACATTAAAACGACTGAAAACGCGGAGCACGTGACTATTCACCAACACTGGGCATGCGTGCGCCAGTGTAAACGGTGGTAGACCAGAACGGCACTGTGGTAGACGAATCGGGGAGGGGTACGTCATAACTGATGACACCCAATCATAGAGCCGAGTGTGAGCCTCTGCGTCATCATTTGTAAACTCCTCCATTTTGTCCCATCTACACTAAAATGCCCTCCGGAGATTCAAAACGCAAAACGGAGCTGCAGCGTTTCTAAACTTCTCAGTTTTAGGTCTTTGTTTTTCCCGTTTTAGGCCACGTTTACACAAAGCCGGGTATTTAGCGAAACAAATATTTTCCCCCTCTCTGTTTTCAAAAACAACATTGTTCACACACCCGCATAAATACGCCGTGGAGCACCATCATGACTATGCCAAACCTATTGGCGGCAGTGTAGGGAGAAGGATTAAGTCAAGTCAAGCCAAGTCACATTTATTTATATAGCGCTTTTCACAATACAGATTGTATCAAAGCAGCTTCACAGTGATAACATGAAAGTAGTACAACACAGATTACTAATATTGTTAAATATTAAATACTAAATAACCCCGACTAAGCAAGCCAAAAGCAAGGCGACAGTGGCAAGGAACCAAAACTCCATCAGATTGGATGGAGAAAAAACCTTGGGAGAACCCAGGCTCAGTCGGGGGCCAGTTCTGCTCTGGCTTACATTCATATTGTTTATATATAAATATTAAATATAAATATTGTTTATATATAAAACAGCGCCATAACATATCGCCGGCATTGAGTCGTCTCTTCACAGGCGCTGGTCTTCTCATCACAGGCGTTGGGGCATCCGAAATCCCTGTGAGAGGCTGGATACAAAACTGGACCTGACGAACGCCATTTTTCTCGGGACAAGCGTCCCGAGATAACAGCAGAAAGGCAGATGGGAGATAATTAGCATTTACATTTAGCGAGATAATTAGCACTCACAAACTCACCGCAACCCAACCATACCCGCCAACCCATTTGACCCACTGTCGCGGAAATGCATTTCAGTGGCAAACGGTTCCGTATGGCATAACAGAGGACTAAAAGGTAAGCATTATGTGAATGCTTGACTAAAGAGATGCGTCTTCAATCTAGTTTTAAACTGTGTCAGCGAGTCAGAGCCTTGGACCGTATCGAGAAGGCTATTCCAGAGTAGAGGTCTTCACGGGTCCAAAAATTCATGCCCGACCCGGAAGAGACCCGTAATGTGCTACACCGAACCGACCCGGACCCGTCGTTCATTTCAAAAGTTGGACCCGGACCCGTGCAGACCCGAGAAATGCCATAAATGTACTGCCCGGACCCGACCTGGACCCGTCTATTATTTGAAAACTGGACCCGAACCCGACAGGAAGACACAAACCCGACTGGACCCGATTGTCACATATTATTTCACACGAGTTGCGAAAAATAAAACTTTTTGTCTTACCTAATTTTAGTAGTCGTCATCTCACTTCCTGACGTTATCTGACTGACTGTGATGCATTACAATCCACCGACAAGAAAGTACTATCCATGTTATTTCTTTATCTTAATCCAAGCTTAATCCACTCATTATTTCAGCTTTAAAAGTCCACTTGATGTCACGGTGATGGATGAAAAATGCAGCCTTGCAAATGCACATTCTGACTCGAGTTAACTCGCATAATAACTTTAACTGTTTGCCCTTTTGAACTATAATAACGATTGCTTGTTCAGCTTGATCATATCTGTGCTCTCTGCTCTTCATCGAGTCTGAATCTGACCACCAAAACTTTAAGATTAAACAAGACGGTTCATTTATATTATTATAAACATTGGAGAAAATGCAAAGCGCGGTTTGGCGGAAGCTCTGCTCTGGTTGCCATAGAAACATGACACGCGCTTGAGATTGCACTCCAATCGCACGTGTATTACCAGCCCGTTCTCAGCGCGTGTTATATTAACGATAACGGGTGCCATGTGAGTAGTATTTCGCCGTTTTGTTATACAGTGCGTCCTATATGACGCTAAAGGATGAGAATGCGTTGGTATTACACACAATGTTAAACAGACCCGGGACCCGAAGTAATAGATTCGGACCCGACCCGGACCCGGCTGTCACGGATCCATCTGCGTCAGCACCAGACACCTTCACTCCGCCCACTCGTTCCAGCTCCCCAGCATTCTAATCACCGTCACCTGCCCGCTTCAATCACCGTCCCAATCATCCTCCCTTCATAAACTCACTCCTCACAGTCACTCACCGTCTGGTCTCGTCGACACATCGACTACAGACTCCCGCTACTCTACTGCCTGCTTCTAGGAATACTTACCCGCTACTTCAGTCCCGTCTGCTTCTCTTCCGCTCCTGGTCCCCGGTCTTCCTCTGGTCATCCGTCCGCTGCCTCAGCTCTCCATCTTCCAGCCCTGCTCAAGATAAGAAATACATAATCAGACTGTTTCCCGCTCCATCACCGAACTTTATCATTATATACTTACCAGCTGTTTACTATATCACCTGTTTCAATAAACCTGGTCTTACACTCATCCATCTGTGTCCTTCTAGTCTGTGACACGGGCTGCTCATTTAAAATATAGACCCGAGGTCGGGTCCGGGGCCGACGGGTCTCGGGTGCACTGTGAAGACATCTATTCCAGAGTTTTGGAGCTAAATGCGAGAACGCCCTCCCTCCTTCAGTGGACTTAGATATCCTAGGAATTACCAGAAGCCTTGAATTTAGTGATCTTAAGGAATTTGGGGAATTTTAAGGAAGATTGTAGGGCGAAAGAAGGTCCGTTAAGTACATAGGAGCTATTTTGTAGTTGATACGGAACTTAATAGGTAACCAGTGTAGAGATGATAAAATCGGTGTTATATGATCATATTTTCTTGACCTAGTAAGAACTCTAGCAGCTGCATTTTGTACTAACTGTAGCTTGTTTATTGACGATGCAGGGCAACCGGCATAAAGCATTACAGTAGTCTAGTCTCGAGGTCATGAATGCATGAACTAACTTTTCTGCATCAGAAACAGATAGCATGTTACGTAGCTTAGCAATGTTTCTAAGGTGGAAAAAGGCTGTTCTTGTAACACATGAAATATGATTTTCGAAAGACAAGTTGTGGTCTAGTATAACACCCAGGTCTTTTACTGTAGTGGATAAAGTAACAGGACATCCGTCTATATTAAAGTTGGGTAACACTTTATTTTACCACCCGCAAACAACTGGGTAAGTACACAGAAATTACGGTGTACGTTTCTGTAATTATAGTGTACTTCCGTGTAAGTATAAGGGAACAATATGTTAAGTTTGGGGTAATAAAGGGGTAACAAGCAGATATACAACCTGCAAATAACTTCGTAAGTACAGTGAAATTACGATGTACATTTCTGTAAATATAGTGTACTTCCGTGTAGGTATAA